ATAGAAGGGTAATTTTTATCCATCGGGGGAAAAGGAGCTAGCTAAATTTTTCAATTTTTTTAATGGAGATTATAAGGAAAATTATATTCAAATTTTAAGTCTAAGAGTGTAATTTCCAGCCATCTAGAGGTGCCATAATCACAAATTTTCTTGCCTCAGCCCCAACCATGGTGGGGCTGATGTGGTATAAATTCTCCATCTGCTGAAGTACCCAGTGGCGGATTCAAGGGGACCCAGACGGCCCGCCCCCGCCCTCCTAAATTGTTCAATAAAAAAAATGGAGACAATGATAATTATATTCAAATTTTATGTCTGGAAGAGCAATTTCCGGCCATCTAGAGGTGCCATAATCACAAATGTTCTTACCTCAGCCCCAACCATGGTGGGGCTGAGGTAGTACACATTTTCTATCTGTCAGAGTACCCTCCCTGAGCCCTTCTATTTCGAATTCCTGGATCCGCCACTGGAAATTACAACAAATATGAAAATCATATTACAGTAGCTTGATGCCTATAAAATAACTTATAAAATTCACCAAACTTCGTAAAATATCCGTAGCTTCCAGGAGGCTTCGCCCCCTGGACCCCCACCGGGGGGCCTTGGCGGCCCCCAGCCTGGATGCTCTTTTCGCTCGCACACTCGACCGTATTAAGTGCCCCCCCCCACTTTCAAAAACGTTCCGCCGCCGTTGACTTAGAAATATATATTATTACTGTATACTCGCTGTTTATCAAAGAATGGATTTTCCATTATGACAGCAAGTTTTGAGAAAATTGCTTTCATTGAAACCAGGAGTGGCGTCAGGAGCCCCCCCCCCACCCCGGTCGGGGAGAATAAAAAGTGTATATGTATTTTCTACATACCAATAGACTCCAAAATCGGGTAAATAGGCCTTTAAAACACCTAAATTGTCATATTTTTTGGGGGAACTAGAACACTTTCAAAAGATTTTTGGCGCGACGCCCAACCACCCACGATCTTTTTGTCGGGGACGTCATCCCCCTCCCCCGTCGGGGATCTCGGACCCCCTGAAAGTCCTGGCGCCACCACTGATTAAAATACTTACCTTAACCTACGAAAGATGTTATTATTGATACATATATTTAGGCAACAAACTATCACTAACTCATAAAACTTAAAAAGCTATAATAAAAAAGTAATAGATATAATTACTACGCTTACAATTAAGACAGCAAAGTTTGTTAAGTGGGTGCACTCGCATATTATCTGTCGGTTTTCAAGTAATCCAGTAAAGTTGCAGCCTTCGAAGGACCAATCTCCAAATTCATTCATTGTTTCATTCCAGTAAGCACACTTGTATGTACTCGAAGATGGATACTGTAGAATTTACGTTAATATGATATATATTGACATAATGCGTATATATATAGGTACCGGTATTTAGTCATACGTAAACAAAAATTATGTTGTCGTCCAGGGATCGATTACGTGTAATGGTGTGTGCTGTTTCACTTTGTAATTAAAATGCCACACTTTATATTAAACCCTAGAATTGCCGTATATCTTGTCGATGCGGAAATGATTACTGGGACAGGAATTACAAGTGCCACGTACGATCAATACTGCAAACCATGATGTAATGTATATCCCGTATATTCCTGTACGTTTTACTGTGGCAATCATAATTATGATATACATACCATAAAAACATATTTATTATTATACATTATAAAGATGAATATTCAGACATGGTGATATAAGTCTAGCAACATTTTTTATCGTTTCACTGATTTTCAGATAATTTTAATAGAGGATTTTTTGACAACATAGAAAAGCAATACTGTACAATACGATGTTAAAATAGAAAGTAATTAACATTTATTCGGAGAAAATTTCAGGTACCGGTAGTAAAGTTTATATTGTAAGAAGAGAAAAATTATGTGTTTACAAATAATTTAAACTGAGTGCAGTGCTCAGACACTTGGTTTTTTGAACAATAACTGTTAATATAACACAATCAGGTTTGAAGAATACTTATTATACAATTCACCTCTGGCGCAGTAAACGTCAATTCAACTGGATCTTCGAATACTGGTGGTAGAACCTCATCGGTGTACACCGTTGCAGATAAAACGGTTCCTGTAGTATTTGTTTCGCTCTCACGATTCGAAGAGAAAAGCTTGTCATTGGTATACACAACAAAGCTTATATTTACACCTTTACCTATGGAAATGAAATTTACAAAATTAAAGTATTTGATCGTATGCTATTAAAAAAAATTTGCTATTATACTATTAATAATAATCAAACCAGCAAAAGTGTTACGGTATCTACAATGTTTCAGTTCTACACTCTACAGTAGATTTAAGGGGTGTATCCAACTTAACTGACCAATCAGTACTGGGCCAGGAAGACGCCCTTTCCCACAAACTACACATACTTTTTCAAACTACGTATAAAATTAATGTTTTGTTTATATTTCGGCTTATTAAGAGAAATCAAACAAAATTTTATTCATAAGGATTTGTAAATGTGTGCAAAACAATTCCTTCCAATCCCTTATTGCGTTCAGAGCCTGAATCGAACATTATAGTATGATGTCTTATGATAACACTGAAAACCCTGAAAAGACAAGAAAATGAAGAATTTGATTTTAGATTTTATTAACTTCCTAAAGAAAAAATACTTTCAACAACGCACCTTCAGATGCCTTTAAGATGCTTTTAGGTAAAGTGACTGAAAATGCCACGGTTTCACTGCATTCATTACCAACACATACGCGGGTATTTGTAGCATTTCCAGATACGATGAATTTTACATTACTCTGAATTGTGTTTGAGTCAAGACTCAGAGTTTGTATTGCGATATTTTCTTCGACTTGCGTGTAATTTTCACCAGAATTTGCAATAACATCCACCTGATCTTCAAACGAATCGAGTATACTAGCGGTTGTTTTGGGCGGTACGTTTAGATCTGTGGTTCCAACAACCACATCGACAATACTAACAACAGCTTCTGTAACCTGTTAAAGAGTGTGTCAATTGTTAAATGTGATTATGTTTATACTTCCATATATCGACTTTCTTCACATTTGATTATTCTTCACTATCTTATCGAAAGATTTCTTTTGCTGTTTTATTTGGGATATAAAGCCATATTTTAGTTTTAGCTAATTCTTATTGTATTAGCGTTATTACTGCTATGTTGACAATATTTCTAGATGTACGCGTATTACACCTATATAATAAAATCATGTACATTGCTTTTATGATACTCGGTACATTTATTAGAGATTGCGATATGTTTACAAAAATAAATAAATAAATAAAAAATAAGTCCATTACTACCAGTACATTATTAAGTATTTTTTTAAAGAAAGTTTTTAATGATAAATAAACATCGTACGTTTTTATCAGGTGAACCCAAATTCGTGATTGCCTCTAAAGCCACAGATGTGACTACAACATCCACCGGCTCCAACATGTCAACCTCCTCTAAGTATTCGTCCAACTCTTGACTCACATCTTCCACACTTTCGTCGGTTACCATCTTGTAAAGCGAGAACAAAATTCAATCTTTAATACTGCATTAATGATTATGTTTCTTTTTGTGTAAATTCTTAAGGCCAACTCAGACAGCGTCGGCCGACGCAGCCCGACGCGATTTGTTGTCGCGTCGGGTCTGTGTGAGTTGAACGCAGACGCGATGGTGTGCGTAGGGGGCAGTCGCGTAGTAGAATATTAAACGTGTTTAATATTTCTCACGACGGCTTAAGACTGTCCCCGACGATAAATCGGGTCGGGCTGCGTCGTACGACGCTGTCTGAGTTGGCCTTTAGATGTTTTTAAACATCATGAACTTCTCAGTCACCTAATAAAGGATGTGCACACAAGATATCTTTTATATATCATCAAGGAAGGGTGCGGCGTGAATATTGAGAGAGAAGAAGGATCGAAAAACACAAGAAAGTGAAGATCTATGGCAGCAAAACTGCTTGGAGTGTAGGACACCAACTGTATTAGATTATAGATCACTGATTAAAATAAATATATTTGCTATATCCCTAAGTATATCGCATGAATTCGATTTTCTTTAATAATAATACAAAATATATAAAACTGAATAGTAATAAGGTGTATACAACAAGGTTGAATAATTTGAAACGAAATGCAGGTTACATTCTACAGTGTAATAACAGAAATAAATTAAACTGTACCTCTGTTATTTTTACAATTTCAGTGGATGTTTCAGATGCTAGAAACAAAATAATGAAATATTTATTTTTAAACATATGGCTAAGATACAATGGACTAAGCGTTTAATGATAATGAAATTTGAGTTCAAATGAAATTTATTCAAAGTAACTCCAAACAAGGAGAAGCACACTAGCAAAACAAGGAAATTTAATTAAAACATGGCTTAGATTACAAAATGACAATATTTTTTACATTACGCTCACTAAACTTACGAACAAAACTGGAACGGGCAACCTTTTTTTGGTCAGAATAATGCAAATTTAAACGTAACAG